CGGGAGCGGCCACTGCACTCCAGTCTGGGCGACAGAGTGAGACTCCAACTCAAAAAAAAAAAAAAAAAAAAATTTTAGGCTTTGTTCTAGTTACTATGGCTGTATTTCACTACCACCAATCAGTCATTTATTTTGTTAAGTATTTTGTGAGTCTAGAGCAGTGCTGATATCTTGACTTTGCTTTATGATGCTTGAGATCTCAGTTGGAAGATTCTTAAAGACCCAGGGCTTGAGTCATCTGTAGACTTGCTCACTTATGTGTTTGTCATTCAATGCTGATTTAAGTTGGTGGACTCAGTTTCTCTGCTTATAAGCCGAGAATGGGCTGGGATGGGAATGCAACTTTCTGACTCCAGGTCTTTCCTATGCTGCCACCCTACCGTCCCTTCCTAGTCATGTAGTCCTTTCTTTTTTTTTTTTTTGAGTTGGAGACTCACTCTGTCACCCAGGCTGAAGTGCAGTGGCACGCTCACAGCCAACACAGCCTTGACCTATTGGGCTCAGGCCATCCTTCCACCTCAGCCTTCCAGGTAGCTGGAACTACAGGCATACACCACCATACCCAGCTAAGTTTTTGATTTATTGTAGAGACGAGGTCTCACCATGTTGCCCAGGCTGGTCTCAAACCCGTGGGCTCAGGCAGTCCTCTCACCTTGGCCTCCCAAAGTGCTGGGATTCTAGGCATGAGCCGTGGTGCCCAGCCCATGTAGTTCTTTCACTAACATCATGAGTGTTCCTCCCCTCAGAGTTTTCTCAGGCTAGCAGACCCAATGATATAGGCAAAATTGTAGTAGCGTCTTTATGTGTAGTGGGCTTGCAGGTATTTCCTAACCCTTCCTCTCTTTGATATTTTTTCTTGATTTTTGCATTGACCCTCTGATTATGTTTTATCAGAAGGTCTAGTTGCCATTTTGTATACTGTGGTAACATGGTAGAATAGAGTCATTTTCTAGCATTCAGAATCTGAATGGTAAATCCAGTTGAGCATTTTTATTTGCCCTTTTTCCAGGTGCTCAGAATTTTGATGTCATACGACTATCAACTTACAGAACAGCTTGCAAATTGCGATTTGTACAAAAACGATGCAACCGTAAGTCATTTCTGCTCATTTTTGTGATAGTTTGATAGAGTTCTCAATGTTATAAAACATTTTACTATCTTTTAGTCATATTGCAATGTTATTGAATTATTTGTGTCCTAAGTACTTGTCAGAGAATGTAAGCCTTGTAATGGAAAGAGCTTGTTGTTTTACTCCCTTGCCCCTCAAAATGTTTAACAAACGCAATAATGTAACTAGTTTTCAGGCTATCATAGTATTAATATTCTTTAAGTGGGAGAATTGATTTGTCCTCATCACTTTTCTTAAGGAAATGCTTTGTATAACGTTTATATAATTTATTAGCTTCTGAAGGAAAAGGGGAAAACATCAGTGTTTTTGATAAAGGTATAATAAGGATTTTTTTTGTGTGTGTGTGTGTGTTGGAGTCTCATTCTGTCACCCAGACTGGAGTGCAGTGCCCGCTCCCGGCCACCGCAGCTTCGACCTGCTGGGCTCCGGTGATCCTTCTGCCTCAGCCTTCCAAGTAGTTGGAATTACAGGCATGCACTACCACGCCTGGCTAATTTTTTGATTTATTGTAGAGATGAGGTCTCGCCACTTGCCCCGGCGGGTCTCGAACCCACGGGCTCAGGCAATCCACTCACCTCAGCCTCCCAAAGGCACGGGATTACAGGCTGAGCCACCGAACCCAGCTAGGAGTTTCTTAATTAAGCCTAATATTAACATGAATCAGCCTTTTCTATAAATAATTGCTACCATGTGGATTATAAAATAAATAAAATGTGTGTCTGTATATATGTAGTGTGTTTTATATATTTAATCTTAATTTTCATGAAGATGAACTAACATGACAGAATTATTATACTTTTCTTGTGTATATGTATTAATGAAAAACATTTATATCATAGAAAACATTAACCTTAGAATGAGAAACCTCAGTTTTAGATCTGGTTTTGCCATTTTTTTTTTCATTTTTTTTTTAAGTTGGAGTCTCACTTTGTTGCCTAGGCTGGTGTGTAGCTGCACGCTCATAGCCACTGCAGCCTCCACCTGCTGGGCTCAGGTTATCCTTCTCCCTCAGCCTTCCAAGTAGCTGAAACCACAGGTATGCGCCCCCACACCCTGCTAATTTTTTGATTTATTGTAGAGATGAAGTCTCTCCTTGTTGCTCAGATTGGTCTTGAAGGCATGAATTCAGGTAATTCTCTTGCCTCAGCCTCCCGAAGTGCTAGGGTTACAGGAGAGAGTTCCTGCACCTGGCCCTCCATTTATTATAAACAAGTGACTTTGGGTAAGTCACTTTACATCTGAAAGCTTCTATCTTACTTTAAGTCTTACCAATCCTAGTTTAAAATTCTCTTCGAAGAATTTATCATGCCATCCATCCTAGATTGAAGTCATGTTTCTTTCTTTAGTGGTTTCCCAAAGCATTGTTTTTTAAATTATGGGTTGTCACCCTTTATTCTTCATGAAATCATTTTGGTGAGCTGCAGCCAGAATTTAAAACATAGAAAAAAATAGAGAGATAAATAAAAAGAAAATATTAGAATGCAGCTTATGTGGTAAGGCTAAAAAGTGTTCTGTGAAACTTTTTAATATATCCAAGTGTGTGTGTGTGTGTAATGATTTAAATATATTTCTGTGTGTTGTAGTGAAAAACTGTGGAGACTACTGCCTTAGAGCAACTCTAGTTTTTATAATTCTTCCCATAATTATTCTTGGAAACAGTAGTGTGTGTATAGAGTGTTGAAAGCCTGAAGCAGGCTAGTGGCATTAGTAATATAAAGTAAAAGTTGCATTATTTTAAAAGATTTTTGTTCCCTTTAGCATATGATTTTACAGTTCACCTGAAATTTATTTTTGTTAGTATACAGTGTAAGTAGGAGTCAAATGTCAAGTGTGTGTTCACCTGTCCTTCACAATGGAAAGGTCATCCTTGCCGGGCTCGGTGGCTCAGCATGTAATCCCGCGCCTTTGGGAGGCTGAGGTAAGTGGATTGCCTGAGCCCGCAGGTTCGAGACCCACCTGGGCAGCGAGACCTCATCTCTAC